TCCAATCTATAAGTGTATATGTATGTGAGCATTTTTTGGCGCCAATGCCATAAGCTCTTACGTTTTCTAAAAATTAGCACGCTATAGCACTAACGAACAACGTATTTTTGGTTTCAAGTTTTTTTTGATATGCGACATACATTAACCAATTTTGAGAGTCATTAACGTGATTAATAAAAATCTTAATTTTTGCGTTTTCCTAGTAATTAAAACACGTTTATATACTTGTAAATTTTATAAGTAAATGTTCACTCCGTGTAAAAAAAATTTTGTTTACTATTAGTAATTAATAATAGACACAATGAGTACCACCAAGATGCAATTAACCGAGCTTTGCTCTGCTTTTTTAGCTGCCATGGTAAAAACCGAAGAGTTACAAAATCAGACTCAGGCCTTGGAAAGTGCCCAAATAGGGACCCATAATGCAGCAGAACGTGCACCTATAATTTCGATTTTCGTTCGTTCTAACTCTGTCACGTGGTTCACTCAGGCGGAAATTATTTTAGAAAATTCCGGGATCATTATGTCAGCCACTAAGGCAGATTACATAGCAGAAAAACTTGACTTAGATGGCGTTCCTAGACCAACCGACTTGTATAAACAAGTAAAAAAGCGAATTTTAGACGCTTTTGACGGCAAATCGAAGAAGTGGCTCCGTCAGTTACTGCAAAATCAGGTTTCATCAGAGGGCAAACCCTCGTTAATTCTTCATCTTATGCGAGCCTTGGATACTGAATGCGGGGAAGAAGTTTTCAAAATGGTTTTTTTAGAACAGTTGTCACCCGGCTGTCGTGTGGCTCTCGCGATACACAACATATCCTCTCTAACACAGCCAGCTGAAGCTGCTGACAGGTATGTTAGTTTGTCAGCTCATGACGACCCTTATATTTCAGCCTTGACACCCAAAGCCCCCGCTGGCAACCCTCAGATTTCGGGAATGAGCAACCCAATTTTTACATATTTTGAAAAGCTTTCTAACCATATGGATTTACTTACTGATTAGCTAGATCAAATCATGGGTAAAAATTCCTTGCCTCGCCGAAACCGTTCACGCTCGCACAAAAGGAACTCGAATGGTCCTCGGGCTGAAAATGATAAAAATCAAGTTTCCCAGCAGGGCAAACTATGTTACCCGCACGCTAGATACGGCGCTAAAGCCTACAAGTGTAGAGGAAATTGCTCATGAAAGTTGCCCCAGGAAAACGAAAGAATGCTCCTCGTTTGGAAGCTTCAAGTGAGGAGATTGAAAAATCTCAGCACTTCCACACTCGTGATGTAACTTCCAGGTTGACTTTCTTAGTTGATACGGGTGCAGAGATTTCTCTTTTACCCAATCTAGATCTTAAAGCCAAACCTGTCGATTTCAAACTTTTCGTGCTAAATAACTTGATGATTAAAACCTACGGCGAAGAAAATTTTGTTTTGAACTTCTGTCTCAAACGTAAATTCCCATGGAAATTTCACAGCACTGACATCCCTAGTCCTATCTTAGAAGCGGATATCTTGCACTTTTTCGGTTTGATTGTGGACGTGTCTCGACGCTGGTTGATTGACCCACATTCTAATACGTTTTCCATCGGTTATTTTAAATTTTTGGACTCACTTGAAATCAGTCTTTTCAGCCCTGACTCTAAATTTTTTTAAATTATCGCTGATTTCCCTGAAGTCACGGGAGAAAAGCCTGCCCTGCTGGTGACAGACAGAGATGTTTTTTATCACATCGAAACTAATGGCCCCCCGATCATGGAGAGCATCAGACGCCTCGATCCCGAGAAATACAAGGTAGTGCAAAAAGAGTTTAAGGATCTTGTTAGCCAGAAAATATGTAGGTATTCTAAAAGCCCCTGGGCAAGTCCGATGCACATGGTCCGAAAAAGAGACGGTTCTTGGCGTATATGTGGCACCATTTGAGCACCTGCACAGTTCCAGATCAATATCCCGTCCCTTACTTGCAGGATTACGCTTTTCGCTTGTAAGATAAAAACATTTCTTCCAAAATCGATATTTACAAGGCGTATTATCAGATCCCAGTGTCCCCCACCGATGTTTTCAAAACTGCAGTTACGACGCCGTTCTGCCTTTTTAAGTACGTGTTCATGCCTTTTGGACTTCCCAATGCAGCTCAGTTTTTTCAGCGGTATATTAACAGTGCCTTGAATGACCTACATTTTGTTTTTATTTATCTCGACGATATATTGGTTTTCTCTTCCTCTACCGAGGAACATGGGAGGCACCTACGGAGCATTTTTAGGCGCCTCAAACACTTTGGTCTTCGGATTAATACTGTTAAGTGTGAATTTGGTAGAATAGAGTTGGTTTTTCTTGGTCACCTGATTGATCAAAATGGCTCCAAGCCTTGTCAAGAAAAAGTTCGGGCCATTGCTGACTACCCAAAACCAGTGACAGTTGCTCAACTGCGTAGGTTTTTGGGGCTCGTTAACTTTTACCAGCGTAGCCTGCCCAAGGACGCTTTTGTACAAGCTCCTGTCTTCATTTACACACAAAACTCTAAAAAAAAATGACCAAAGAGCCATTGATTGGTCACCAGAAGCTGTTTAGGCCTTTGAAAAGATCAAAAGCGATCTGGTTAATGCTTGTCAGTTGATTCATCCCTCTCAGGATGCTCAAACTCGATTAGTGACAAACGCGTCAGATTTCTCTATGGGTGCTGCTCTCGAAAAACTCTTCGATGGTGATTGAAAACACCTTGCTTTCTTTTCGTATAAATGTAGCTCAGTGCAGAAAAATTATAGTGCCTATGATAAAGAGTTAACAGCTGTTTTCGAGTCTATAAAGTATTTCAGGTACTTTTTAGAAGGTAAATATTTCACTGCGGCTATAGACCATAAAGTTTGGTTTATGCTTTTAGGCAAAAAGCTGACAAAGGTTCGCCCCACCAGCGGCGTCAGCTAGGTTTATCTCCAAATTTACTACTTAAATTAACCATCAGCCAGGATTAGATACTGTAGCCGCTGGCACCCTCTCTAGAGTCGAACTTATTCATCTTCCTCTAGAACTCGACATGCCTGAGCTCGTGCAATATCAGCAACATGATGATTAGCTGAAACAATTCCTGGATTTATCTGATCATTCGCTAAATCTCGAAAGCGTTGAACTCAGCCGTGATCACAGTCACCTATACTGTGATTTGACATGCAAAATCCTCCGTCCATATGTACCTAAAACGTTGCAAAAACGAGTTTTTGACCTTATTTACTCGTCTTCCCATTCAGGCTCTAAGGTTACTGATTAGCTACTCAAACAGAGATATGTCTGGCCTGACATGCATAGAGACCTCAAGGAATGGTGCAAAGGTTGCCTAGACTGTCAACAGACAAAGGTTTTAGGCCATGTGAAAAACGAGCCCAGCCAACTCGTAGCACCCAACGATAGGTTTCGTTATGTCAATATGGACATTGTAGGTTCTCTTAAATCCTACGAAGGTCTTACCTATTTTCTCACCATCATCGATCGTTTTTCTCGTTGAGCTCAGGCTGTACCTCTCTCAAATATAAAAGCTTTACCGTGCTTCGAGCATTCCAGGACCACTGGATGGCTCGTTACGGTGCTCCGAGATTTTTGACTCCAGACCAAGGATCATAGTTTAAGTCAAAAATGTTTAATGATTAGCTGTTATTCATTGGATGCCAAAGGAAAAAAACAATAGCCTTTAATCCAGCGGCTAATGGTCTAATCGAACGCAGGCATCGCAGTTTTAAAGCTGCCCTAATGTGCCATGACAACCCTTATTGGGTAAAGATGCTTTCAACAGTCCTTCTAGGCTTTTGTACTGAAGTCCAAAGTGACACTAAAGCCTCACCGGCTGAGTTCTTATATGGAACCACTCTTCGCATTCCTGGTGAGTTTTTCATCCCAGATGACTCCGTCACAAATCCTCAAACATTCATAGAGGACTATCGTGAACACATGCGAGAGCTGAAACCAGTTTCAGTAGCATACCAACGTAAGCCTAGACCTTTCTTCTTTAAGGACCTACGTACATACTCTCATGTCTTTCGTTGTAATCCAGAAGCCAAAACGCTCGAACGACCGTACTCAGGCCCACACAAGATGATCGAACGAATCTGATTTCAATTATAAAATCGATATTAAAGGATGACCTAAAGTCGTTTCTACCGAGCAGCTTAAGCCCGCTCATTTTGTCCCAGATGATCTTGAGACCCCCGTTCTCGATTTGACAGCTCCTTGCATTCATCCTCCAAGGCCCATACCGATTTTAAAAAGCAGATACTTTGACATTGGACCCTCGGTCTACATAACCCCAAAAAATGTATAGGTTGTGTACTAACTCGGACTTCCTGTTCTAAGTATGTGTATCTTTTTAACACGAGTTTTTTTTCCGTGTCAGAAGCCTTCGTTTCCTATTTAATCTTAGTTGGCCATCCATATGTTGCGCACACCCAAGAATTTTGTGTAAATGTCCTTAAATATCTAAATTATTAGAAAAAAATGTCTTTCTTATTAAAATGAATGGATTTATTTAAGCCAAAATACCTGCATTGCACTTAGTTATTCAGAAGTAGCACTCATAATATGCTTATTTATAAACGAGCAATAAAGTTTTTTAGATAACAAATATCCTTTTAAAAATATAGTCGTTTCAATGGAGGTGGTTGTTTATTAATTAGCTGTGGTATTGTTTAAAGTAACCGCCCTCTTGCATTTATACTTATGTGAGAAAATTTGCTGGTTTATTTATTCATATCATTATTAACTAACAGCAAATGCCTTTCGCCTGCAAAGTTACGTTTCTCAAGATTCTTGTTCATTGATTTCATAAAAATAATAATGACAGCATACCACAATCATTAGGAACTTTAGGATTAAGTATAATTTTGAGTATGCACTGAAACGTTCCAGTAGAACCTTGATCCTTTACTTACAATACCATATAATATGATTAAAAATAGAGTGTTTTAAACTAGGTATAATTTTTCTTATTAGTAGTTATTCTTCACTTCAACTGTCTTATTTTTCAGGAAAAATGAAGCAGCAAATCGCCCTAAATTAGAGTTCATTCCAAAAACGTTGGCTGATTTAACAATGGACATGTTAACAGCTGTAGATTCCATGAATGGTAAGCAGAAAATAGAACCTAACTAATTGAAAACTTTTGTTAATTATACGTATTGGCAGATATTTTTAGTACATACTAAAAAAATTAGGAGTCATGGCACTCCAACCTGCCGAATGTCTAGTCTCATACGCCACTATACGTGACCACTATTCGCACGCTAGCAAAAACTCATTACTTGAGGGGTGCTGCTTTTAGAGTAAGAATATCAATTTAGGAAAAAACAGTTTAAGGACTCTTAATGAAGTTATACGTCTTTTTATACATCTAATGGTTTTGTTGCAAAATGGTTCCAAGCATATCTCTTCCTAATTTTAAACGAAAAATTAATAAACAGTTGCTTTTGTTACTAAAAGTACTCTACATAATTTGTATAAAAAATTTGTATAAAAATGTTGGATGTTAAACTTTACAGTAACGACCTTCTTGTTTAGAATGCACCAAAGTTTTTGTGTGGTTTTAATAAATTCTGTATATTTTATGAACCAACAATTATAAAAAATGTATGACGTAGGTCAAAAAAGTACAGTGTATAGGCATTCCACAACATGCTGCCAGGCTGGTACGTAGAAGTCTACTCAGTTTCATTTAATTTAAGGATTAATTTAAAACATCTTCCTACGTGCATAAGTCTTTACATATCACTCGTATCTATTTCATACGCTAATATATTTATTTTTACAACTAGTCGTGTGTGTTTTGAACGAAGTGTTTTATCACGATATTATATTGTTACGTCAAGGTATAAAACTTTTTTTCTTTTTTCTAATATATTTTATTTTTTTTTAGTTTCAATTATTCCATAACTCCTTTTATGATATAGACTTATCTCAAAACAGTCTAAGGTTTAACAGATTTCTCTTATCGGCTTTTCACAACTGATTTTCTTCATCTTCGTCCGCTATTTTACAATTTGACTAAAAGTTTCCTCTAGGCCATCCCCCCATTGCGAACTCTGGTTGTGATATGCTTCTAGCACACGTACACCCTAATCTATCTTAAGATCGTATGATGCAATCGTTATTTTCTTTGTATTAAAATAAACCTTTCTCTTAAAACTTTTATCTAAATGATACAGCTGTAGCAAAGAGACTTTATAAATCAAAAAAATTATTTTTCCTTTGATTTAATCATTGTCGTCTTCAATAGAACCTTTTAACATAATTTTTATCAACCACATTGACATAAGCTACTGCATGCCTTACTGTTTTTCTAATACAGATCTCGTACATTGCAGTTGTATAATTTTTATACAGATAAAGAAAGAGAAATTGTTTGTATTAAATGAACTATATCACTAGCAATTTATAGTTCAATTCTAAGAATTACAACTATTGTACTCATTATTATATGTAATATTTTACTGATATGTACCACTTGTCACTGAAGATATTGTGATGTGGGAACACGCTATTTACACTTTTTCCTTAAGCCACCTTTCCTTTAAACTTCGACACGCGTGGTCATACATAAATAACTTCTAGAACCCGATAACCTTATCCCTAAGCAGCAAAATTTTTCATGGTTAACGTCCAATTAACAATGTTGTCCTTTTACCTGCATACAAGCAGCCATCTTTCCTGAACGTCATAATTTCAAGCCTCACAACAACCACTACGGAGTACTACTATCGGCTCATTGGCACCTCACTCAAACAGAAAGACCCATCAACACCCGAACTGACTAGAATACCTTTCTCTCTTCGAATTTATCCTACTCATCACCATTACAACGATACACACACACGGATGCTAAGATCTTGAGATAGCAGTTGGGTAGTGCAATCCAAAGCATCCAAGGCAATCAAGGCATTCGAAGCCATCTTCCCACATCACCCGTAGTTCGGGTTATTGTCAGCATGGATATTATATATACAGCCTAGTTACATCAAAAATTTTTTTGAAAGAGGATTAATTATACATAATTTATTAACTCATTTCAATCTGAGTACTCAATAGTTAACTTTCTTATAAAAAGTAGTAGTTCAAACAAAATTTGGCACATAAATATTAAAATATCTTTAGTGTTATTAACAAAGTTTTTTAGTAAAAACGATGACAACAGAATTAAAAAAGCCTAATAACAACATGTGTAGTTTTTATTTTTAAATGATAATTTACACACACACACACACACGTTTGTTGTAAAATCATGGTTTTTATAAGTATGTTATACACACGTGTGTGTGTGTGTGTATAACATACTTATAAAAAACATGATTTTACTACAAACATTATTTAAGCACAAACTATTTTACGAATCTTTACTTTTCCAAAGTTGTAAGATCAATCAAAATTGTCTTAGTTTTTTAGTTTATTCACGGAGAATCTATATTATTCTGAAAAAACTACTTTTTCAGAAAATACGAAGTCCAGCAAAACATGTAATTTAATTTTTCTGCTATTCTATGTATTGGCTACTACAACTACACCTTGAATTGGAACTTATGAACCTGAGCATAATGCCAAGTTACCAATTGAGCAAGCTTTAAAGCGATTTCAGGCCTGGCAAATTTATGTGAAATGTTTTATATGATTTAATATCACATTCCTAAATCATAATTTTAGCGAAAAAAAGTTTTACATAAATTATGTATTTTGACAAATTGAACTTCAATACTTTATTGAATATAGGTATAAAAAAAAAAGAAGCACTTTTGTCAAATGAAGACTAATAATGAATTTACCTTTGCCAAACTCTGTGTTTTCTTAAACATTAGTTGTTTTATAATTGATATAGATTCTCAGTAAATGAATTCAGAAAAATTAAACAGTTTTCATTGATTTTATCACTTCAGAAGAGTAACAGTTGGTTAAGTAGTTAAGGTATGAATAAAAGTAGTTTAATGTAGAATCATGTTTCTATTGTAAGTATGGTATTGTATGTATATATGTATGTATGTAATTTATTATTTAAAAGCAACAAAACTAAGTGTGATGTTAAATTACTTTCCGTTTTCTGTGATATTTTTGATAACAACTTTTTTCAATAACACTAAAAGTTTTTTTATAATCATACATTACATTATTATTGAATTTCTCACTTGAATAGTAGCTAATAATTTCACTTCTTCATGAATCCAAAATTTGGTGTTAACATATAATAGAGAAAATACTTAAATTAAATATTTAAAGTACTGATAAGGGCCAAGACAGTGTACAACTGGCCAAAATGTTGTTTTGTTTTTTTAATAAATACAAAATATGATAGTTCTACCATTGGACGTTGTTTTCAATCAGTTACCAACTATCATTCGACGTATTATTTAATAATTTTTGGACGCTTGTGGAAGCTGCACGTCCTTTTATTTCTACATCTGCATTGCACCGTTATGGATAACACAACATTGCAACTGCTAACTATCCATCCTGGAGAAAGTTTGAATCTCTTTTTAAGGTGCTCAACTGCATGCAGTCATTTTAGTAGAAATGTAAGTTCTGTTTTTTATAAGCTTAGCTGTGTTCAGAAGGAACTAGAAAGCAGAGGATCAAAGTGCAAATTTTTGATATGAATGTAGAACTTATGGCACTTTTCTGAGACATATCCTATAAAGTACTAACAAACTTAAATATATTACCTTTTTTAGCTCCCGATCGAGCATTAAACATAAATTATTCATAACTAAATTACATAAGTTAATTTTAAATAATAGAATCTCGGACTCTAACTCAAAAACCAATTCTTTAAAAAATAAAATTACATCAATCACGAATAAAATGATAAGCAAAGGCTGTGAATCTTATATAATACATTTATTTATTGATTATTACAAATTAAAGTTAAATAATACTTTTCGCGAATATCGTTATAAGTAAGATAGTAAGTTCGATGCCGTTTTCTGACATGAAGAATTCGAGCACGAAGACTTATACGATACACTTTTAGCTACAAATATCAGTGACTTAAAGACATCAGTAAAATGAAAGAAAACTGGCTATGGAACCTTTCTGATACACTGCTACTGGATTGTGTCACAAGTATATTAGACTGTTAATAAATGTGATTATTTTCATCTTTTTAAGAATGTTCAACATTCACTGAAATATTCGGGAGAATTTGCGACAGTTAAAAAAGAACTACTTAAAAGTAATAGAAACAACAGACGTAATATATCTTTTCGTCTTTTTTTAAATGTTTGAGTTCTCCAAGACAGTTAAAAGCGAGCACGAGCTTTTCTTGAAAATAATAAAGACATTTTAATTATTAAAGCAGAGAAAGATAATGTCACCGTTGTCATTGACAAAGAAATTTTTATTAATAGAGAAGAGAAAGTATGAAGTGATAAAATATCATATGCAGTTAGAAAATAATCCTTTAAGGTATTAAATTAAAGATACCAAAAGTTTTGTAAGCAAGTGGAATTAATACGGTATTTTTAATGAAGTGCATAAGTTTGATAAGGGTATTCAGAAAAAAGACTTATCTAAGTGCTACTTACTGATAAAAATACACAAAAAAGCCTTTTCAATCCGTATCATTGTTTCAACATTGAATTCACCTACTTATAGTTTTCCTAAATTTCCTTTTGATTTTTGATTAATAATATTCCGTTGGCGAAGTCACACATAAGAGATAGTTATAAATTAAAAAATAAGTTAAAAAACGTTATTATTTCACCTGTTTACCCACTTATTACGTTGCTGTTCATCCACTCATTAAATTGCTTCTTTACTAGCTATTGTCCTGAATTACAATTCACTGCTGAGACATGTAATAACAACAAAATTAGTTTTGTAGATTTAGAAATTATTATTCAAAAAAATAATAATACAGTTCTAACCAATGCAGGAGCTGGATTGAATAACTTGATTTGCTCAAATGAAATTTCTAAATCTTTTTATTTTTAACTAAAAATTCATGCATTTAACAAAGAAACTGTAAATACAAAAAAGTTGCGTTTTTCGATTCTCTATAAGCTACTTTTTTGTTAAAACGATTTGTTAAGTTTTATAATTTGTTTCATGACAGAACTTTTTAGGGCCTCCGAGAGGAGATCAAGTTAT